CAAATCATTCTTTCCAAGCTCATCTTCCTCCTTTGCCGCCCCCTTCCTCTATTTGCCTTTTTCTCGTTTCTTCTGTGTTCCAGATCTTGTCTGTTCCTAGTTGTTTGCTCCTTTCCTGTCCCGGTCTCGCTTTTCTTCTCTCCTTTTCTCTCTTACCCCTTCTGTTTCTCCCTTCCTGCCCTGCTTTTGTCATCTCTCTCCTTCTCCCCCTACTCTGGATCAGCTCTCCGTGGGCCAGTGGGTGGCCCTTTGCTGCTGTTTGAGGATACTCGGGAAGATGTCCTGGTTCCTAGCCTGCGCCCCTCACTCCGGGCTGCACGCCATGCGTCTGCACATTGCGAGTGCCCAGCACCCTGAGGCCCACAGACAGGCTGGGATGCTGCCTCAGACTCCATGTGTTCAGCTCTGAGGAGTCTCTATTGATTTCCAAGAAAAAGGTTGAGCCCCAGCTCGGGGAGCCAGCCCAGTTTCCCAGGAGCCTGGTGCCGGTACAGAAAAAAACTGATTTATAAACTTTGTAGCCAAAAGTAAGGGCATTTTCCTTGTTCCAGCCTCAGTGACCAGTGGGAGTACTGTAAAGAGGACAGGGGGATCTGACTGTGGTGCAGTTGCTCCAGCCAAGAGGATTGTTTCACAAGTCTCTCTGAAACAAACCTGTGCTGGGGCAGGGAGTGGACAAGGTGAGTTTAGTTGCCAGGAGGCATTTGGACTGGGATCTCTGGGTGGGCAAAAACTGATGGCCTTACTTCCCATCTCCCCATTTGGGTGACTGCAAGGGCTCTCAAGGCTGATGCTGCAGCGCTTGGTGTCCCGGACAAGACTATGCTTTGCAGGTGGCTGTTAGCATGCAACAGGCAGTGCGGTTTCTTCTGTCCAGCGACCGCAAAAGGGAGCTCTCTGATTTCGTGGTCGTCACTTAGATTTAAAGGGACCATCTTGCCCTCCCCCCCCCACACACACACCTTAGATTACAATGTCCCTTTTTAAATGCTAGAATTCTAGCAAAATCCATTGCATTTTAATTTCCTTTCTAGTGCTAACAGTTTTTTTTTTTCCCATCCTAACAAAACTTTGACCCCAGGAAGGTGGCCTCCTCAACCCATTACAAGAATTGTGTAAGTCACTGTCATGACAAGATTCTGATTGTGCTCAGTTTGGCAGTATTGAAAAATAATCTTTCATGCTGACAAAGCTGGGAGATATAGTGAGGGGTGGTGATGTTAAAAAAGATTTTTGGGACAAAAATAGAATTCCACAGCCATGACATTGGGAGAGCACTAAAAACAAAGTCTCGGCCACCATTGAAGGCGCAGCCTTGTCTGGGGTTCCATAGAGTACATGTGTCCTCACCGGGCCTTTTGCACACATAGGTCTGGGTGTGATGTCAACAAGTACACTATTAATGTGGTCTGGATTATCTATTTGGTGGCCATTGACCTCTGGTAGATTACTTTGTACATCCTGTAAGGTAACCAGGATTCCTCAAGGCCTCTTGGATTGTCTGAAATTGAAGCAAAATTATTTGAAGTGAAATGGGATTTCCTTGGGTATTAAAAGGATGATACCACAGTGCCATCTAGTCTAATCAAAGAAGAACCATGTTTTAGAAAGTCAGAGTTACTGGATTTTACAGTATTTTTTAAAAAATGAAATACAATTCGCTAGAAATACACATAGCTACCTCAGGGGCATCTTTTTATTTCATTCTTTCCTGCCTACCTCCAGAAATAATCATTTTGAATAATAGTGATAGCCTGAGGTTTCTAGAATTTCCCAGAATATTGATAGATCTCTACTTGCAGGATCAGCTCTGGGAGTTTGAGATTCGGTAAGAGCCGGTGAGAGTGAGAGAGTGTGTTTATGGTGGTATGGATGTGTGTGTGAGGTAAAATTGTGGAGTTAAAGGTAGCTGCACGGGCAGTGATTCGTGAGGATGAGGCGCTGGTCTCTGGAGTATAAAATCAGCCCTCATGTAGAGCAGACTCCATGCCTACTGGTGGTCCCCATGCTCTGCTGAACTCAGGGCACCAGCAGCTCCGTCTGACTGCCTTGGAGTTTAGGCACCTGGGCCTTAGCTCTAGGCCAGCCACAAGCTGAGCCAGCTGTGTGACCTTGGACTGGAGCCTGTGTGGATAGTGTGCTTCAGTTTGTGGTGAACTTTCATGTCTCTTATCTCTGGTATTTTTTATGTCAACTTGCACTGTGTTTAGGGAAGAGCTGACAAAACTGTTCCCATTTATCAGATAACAATGATGCCCAAAGAAGCTAAAGGACTTGCCCATGGTCATTGAGCTCTTCAGTGGCACATCAGGAGTCTGTCTACACTTTTGTCTGACTTCACAACCACCTGCTCTGTTGAGTGCACCTTGATAAACAAGATTTTTTTTTATTATAAAACACAAGATATTTTGTGTTAGTAATTGCAACAGAGGGAAAACTCATTAAACGTTAGCTGATGTTGTTAACACCTACATGATCACCATCACCATAATGTTGCACATGAGAGCTTGATTGAGTGATTGGGCCAGGGTTGCCCAATCTGGAAGAACAGATTTCTATATCCTTTAAGGCTTTATGCTCCCCAGGAGTTTGTCTTGCAGCTAGACTGCAGAGGGATCTCTGTGCAGATAGCACAGAAGAAACCTCTGCAAAGCTGAGCAGTGTGAGAGGAGGCTGGGGGCCTCCTTGGAAAACCTTCATTGGTAGGAGCTCTTAGCAGTGACAAGGACCACTACTTGATTCAGCCATTTGTTCACATTAGTAGTGTGTGTGTGGAGGGAGTAAGGGTGTGTGGGGTATTGAGAGGCTGTCAAGGCTGCCCGCCAAGACCTCGAATCCTGCTCTCAGTGCTTCATTTGAGATGCTTCCCTGTCTCTCTGGATAGTAAAGTGGTTGAGTGATATATAGCTGTTAAATAGAACTGACTGATCACATTTCCTGGAAGAGGACAAAGAGAGTGAGTGCTTGGCTGACAAAAGGCTCAAGTTGTTTATCACAAACAATATAGCTGTACAAATATTAGAAATTGCACTGCATCGGTTTGTCTGCCAAAACAAAACAACATTGTTTGAGGTCAGGGAAGGGTCCTGTTCATTTTAGAATTTGTAAGGCCATTTTTGAAAATGTGTCAAAATATTGTTGCTTACCAGCTGTTAAAAGTCCCAAATTCTTCAGGTTTTTCTCAGGCCTAATTCCTTTTGTTTATAGCCAACTTTACTGTACCACTTGGTATGTGGGTGGAATTCAGAATTGGGCTTAGAGAAATTGCCCACGTCCTGCTCTTCTTCATTAGATACTGTGCTGGTTGGCACACTGGATGGGGGTGGGAGGTCAGATCTATGGCTACACAAGTTAAATAATCTGATCACATTCATATTTTATCCTAGACCTTTAACATCTGTACATTTTTTAGCAGCCGTATGGGAAAATAATTGTCATCTAAAATCCAGTAGGGTATCACCGATAGAAAAGAACTAAAAGGTGTTTGTTTAGATGGAGAAGAGCTTTTTCGGTTTTTTTTTTTTTTTGAAAAGAATTTTGGTAAAAGCTTTCCTTTTATTTCATTTCTTTTTAAAAGGTGATTCTATTTTGAGTTAGAATTCTAGAGTGCACAGACCTGATCATGTCTCACATGCCTGCACTCCCACTCCTTCCCATTCTTTTTATTTTTTTCGAATGTTTTAATTATTTAATTTTATTTATCATTATTATTTTAATTTCCTATAGGGCATGTGTTCTCACAGGAGAGAAACAGAATGAGAGAAGGAGAGAGAGAGAAGAGGAGAAGTGGGAAAGCTAGGTGCCAGGTCTGGGACTAGAACTAAGTTCAGCCATGTGGGAATACAATGCCTTAACCATCGCACCACCAGCTGCCACCTCCCCCCCCCCCCCAACTCCTTCCCTTTCTTGATTTTGCGGTGAGGCAAGATGTCACAAAAGACTTGTGGTACAAGATGAGACAGCGAGCGAATGTTATAGCCAGCAGTGGTGGACTTGTGCTGCATATTGTCATAGGCTATTGGGCTCTCAGCTTCACTTATCTGAGGATTCATTTCTATAGCTAACTTTGATGACAACTATTGGACCATCCCACATATTTTCGAGAAGGGGGAAGAAATCTACCATGATAACTTCTGTAGAACACCAGCAGTTATCAGTCAGCATCTCTGCATGGTTGACAAACATGTTCATGGAGTCCTGACAAAACTCTAAGTTCTCAGGTAGTAGAAAAGGTTACCCCAAATTAGCTACTTTTAATCATAATTTTCGATCAATGATGCTGTATGGAAGTTACAATGCTAGACTTCATTTTATGGATTGGTTGTGAACTGAATAATAGGAACTGACATTAAAAGAATAGTCATTCCTTCCTTCTGTCATTGATGAAAAAATTTTGCAAAACTGTCCATTATATTCCAAGGAAGACATATCCTGCCTCTCACAGATTTTATAATAGAACAGAAAAATTGATTACTTTAGATACTTAATTAAAAAGACAGGTTTTGTCTGAAAACAATTTGAAAATAATATCTTGAAAATGTCTTAGATTAAACAGAATATATAAAAAATAGAGA